AAATCAAGCACCATAATTCCCTCAGCCAGTTTAGGCCAGGGCTAGGGGGAGAAGCCTTCCAGCCTGAGAAGAAAGTTCCTGGCTCTTCTGCCCAGGTGGCCTCTGTCTGCAGGGTCAGCATCCCCCAGCCTCAGCCCTCAGATGTCTGCCTCCATCAGGTTACAGCTGCTCCTCGTGGGCACCTGAAACCTGTCTGCAGCACCTTATAAAGCTCTGATCAGTTTTGTCTTTTCTTTTTGCTTCTCCATGAACTCTAGTTTGCCCTGCACAGCCTCAGTACTGGGGACCTCACAGGGACTCTGAGATTGTGAGGCTTTCAAAGAAGACTTTCATCCTACCTTCCCTGGGTTGCAGTTACTCCACATCTTCACTGAGGCTATGGCCTTGCAGCCTTATGGTGAATTGTACCTTATAAGTGACATCTCTGCTGAGCTGTGTGGCTCTCTCTTTAACCTCCCTGTTTTAGAGCTGCATGAATTAAGATTCTGCTAGCCTTCTTCATATTCGTGATGAATGCTTTGAACCTTAGCCTAGGGTTGGCCACATAACTGCTTAGTGTCAGAGTTGGTATTTAACCTCGTTCTTCTACAGACTCATTTTTTCCTGGCATGTCTTCTTACAGGATTTTAAACTGTTTTCTGGTCTCTCCTTCATTCCCTTGTACACACATCTGTGATGACAGAGGAAATAAGTAGACAGACTTTTCCCTGGTATATGAAGGAAGACTCAGTCCACAGACCTCAGATCTCCCAGGGATCAATCGTTCCTCACTCATTTCTTTTTCATTTGCTTTCTGGGCTTACCACTTTAATAACAGAGGTTGTGTTTGGCAATTAAATATTAATTAGAAATAAAGTAACAAATCCTGCATGTGAAACCTGCTACTCTGCTATTTAAACAGAATTATCAAAACAATTACATTCCACAAGACAGAAACAAATGTGATAAAAAACACAGTTGGGGAAGTTCTTTGGGAGGGTGGCCTGGGAGACTCTGGGTAAATTTAAGTTCTCACCTGAGAGGAATTTGCAAGTTCTCTGTGGGATTGGCACATGCAATTCAAGAGAAGAATGCTATTGATCCTAGGTTTCCCTGAGAGGACAATCCAGGTCTACTCCTCACTCTCCTGAATCCCATCATTTAGAGTCCCTTGCAAATACATTAAACCCCACCCTTCAGCTCACTCTGAAGTAGGAGGAGGAGGAGGAGGAGGAGGAGGGAGGGAACAGACAGAGAAGCAGAAGGAGAAAAAGGAGGAGTAGGAGATGAGGGAAGGAACAGAATGAGAAGAATAAAAAACAGAATGAGGAAGGAGGGAGAAGTGGGAGGAGAAGTGGAGGAGGGGGGTGGAGGTGGGGATGACAGAAAGAGAGAAGGAAAAGAGGAGGAGAAATAATTCATGAACTAGAATCAAACACAGGTAAAAATTAAAGGTAATGAGATGTGAATGTGATCAAAGTATATAACATACATGAGTGGAAATTACATAATAAAACCAGCTATTCTGTCCAATTAATGCATAATAAATAAATCATTGAAAAGCTGTCTTCCAGTGATGCAGAAATGAGAACATGTCACACAGGTTATAAAAGAGAGAACTGACCTAGTGAGAGTCCAGGCTTCTTCTCCACTCTGCTCCCCAGCTGCAGCTCCAGATGAGTGTGGACGCTGCTTTAATAAGGTGACCATTCTAACAAGGGGGTGGGGACCCATAGGGAACAGCCACTCCCATGGACTCCCCCAGAGTTCAAGATTCCAGAGTTTCATGATAGACTGGAAATGAACTTATCATGGGGAGGGACCTATGAGTCCCTATCCCTCCCTGGAGATCTGGAGTCCTTCAGTGTATTTCCTACAGTCCTGTAAAGAGCCATAACACATGCTTTTATAAACAACTCTATAGAAACTCAGTATCTCTCTGTCTGTCTCTGTCTCTCTGTGTCTCTGTCTGTCTGTCTGTCTGTCTGTCTCTGTCTCTGTTTCTCTCCCTCTCTCTCTCTCTCTCTCTCACACACACACACACACACACACACACTCACACACACAAGGGGGTGAGGGGGAGGAAGGAAGGAAGAAGAAAAACTGAATGAGAATCTTAAATACTTTGATCTTCCTTAACTGAGCAAACCTACAGAACCCTCAGCTATGATAACAAAATGTGACTTTAAACTACTAACATTCAGGGATAGTTTGTTAGTAGTCTTAAATGATAGAATTAATACGTTGTCTCTAATTCAAGGCTAAGTGAAGTGCAGTTCATTTTGCCACCTGCTTATTGTATCCAATAGATCATGCTAGTATCCTGTAATACCATGATAGCTGTCTTAACCTTTGTCCTGTTTTAATCAGGAGCTGAAGGGCAGAAAGGAATTTCACAATCCACACTTAACTTCACCTGGATGACTATCAAGAGTCTGTCCCAGCATGCTCTGGGTCTCAATGCAGACTGTATCCCTGCAGTTACTACTGTGGAAAAATTGCCTTGTCACCATTAGTAATGTCATTTCCAAGTTAGTGATAGTTACTGTTACTTTGTGCCAAGTTCAGACTCACAGCCCTTATCCACAAGCAAGGACATCTACCACTGACTTTATGCACAGACTCACATGCTCATTTGATTTTGGTTATACTCATTAGTGCATAGGTCTTTATTAATCATTACCTGATGATGTGGTTGGCTTCACAGATGTGTGTCACTCTCCTATGTGCACACTGAAGGGGTTGGTTAAACTCTCCCACTTTAACCACGGAATTTAGGTTCCAGTTCTCTGAGAAGGGCAATCAGGTGTCTTTCACAACACAGGGCCATTTTTCTCCAAGGCTCTTACATTCAGGGCTGAGGAGAGAAAGAACACACAGGGTCTAAGTCAGCGTCAGCGTGTCTCAAGGGCAAACCCAGCAGCCCCTTCTGAGTCATGTCCAAGCTTGTACAGATGTGTCCAAAATGGTAAGACTAACCCTCAGCCAATTAGAAATATACCAACGTAAATGCTGCTTGCTTAACCAGTTATGTAGTTGACCCTGAAACTCCCCTTAGCTGTTCTTTAAAGGAGCCTACACATCCCTCTTGGGGTCATCGCCATCCTGTGCAGGTGAGCAACCCCACATGCATGCTGGGAAATAAACGCTCTCTTTTCTTAAATATTATTTGACTCTGGGGTCTTCCTTCAGCATTTCCGCAGACCCTACACATACCTTACCAATTTCCAGGGCTGGCCTCTTTTATCTTGGTATACACTGCTAATTTCTCTTCAACTTGAGGATTTCAATCCTCTAGAGGCACTGCACTTCTCTAAAAACTGATGACAAATTGGCAGTGCTGCCCTTCAGGGTGATGCTCATGTGCACTGGCAGATGATCTCAGGTCCAGGCATCAGTCTCAGTTACAGGAATGAGTTTGAACACTGCCCATGAAGAGTCCCTGTCACAGGCTGTCAGCTTATGGCAGAGGAAGACACAAACCCTGTGGGGAAGGCCAAGTGTCCCAGGGGAACAATGGGAAGACTTGCTCCAGAGAACTGGGAGATCTCAAGTGCAAAGCAAGGGCTGAATCAGGAGTGATGCTGAGGACTGCTGTTGCCTTAAAACTGAGTCTACTGTCCCAGCCCTGAAAGGAAGGAAGCCCTCAGCTGCCTGCCTGTCCCAGGCCATTTCCCTGGGCTCAGGTTGAGTCCCTGTCCTTCTAGCTCCTGTACTTTAGTCTTCCTCTGCAGCCCAGGCCCTGCACAGACCATTTCTTCAGCTGAGCCTACTCCTCTCCATCCTCTGGACATGCTGTGTTTCCTCCATCAGGGCCCTGTCCAGACAGTGTGGAGCCCTGAGCAAGGAGCTCTCCAGGGCTTGGTTCCAAGTTCCCATGGCTGGTCTAGAGTGCACCTCAGGGGGCAGCCTTGAGGAGCATGTGACCAACTTTCCTTTAGTCTTTGGGATGTGTCACCATGTGCAGGTGTAAGAAGGACATTCTGGTGGCTCATCATGTGTCCACCACCAAACTAACAGATGTAAAAGTTCTTTGATGGAGATCCTGGACTTTATCTTCAAGAAAAATGGAATGTGTCCTCCAAATATGTTCTTAAAATACCTTGGTCTCAAGAAGAGTTTACAGGGCTGGGAGCACAGCTGGGTGGTACAGTTTGTTTTCTCATGCTCCCAAGAGCCCAACATGGAAAAGAGAAATTCAAAGATAAGAATCCCCAAATCTCTTCCCCAGGATGACAGTGAATGTGGGCATCAACACCCCTTGGTGCCCTCACTCTAGGCTGTCTCTCTTTGCCTCTTAAGAGTTTGTGCCTTTGAAGAGTGCTAGCCATGTCTTTTGGTCTGTCTTGGGTCTTGTGGAGAGTTGATCAATCTAAGACTTTCTTTGTCCTTGCTCAGGAGTGAACTTGGCAGGACCAGTCTGGGGTTGAGGCCTGGGCCTTGAAGGAGTTAAGGTTTTGGTTCCTAGGAACTTGGCCCTCCCTGATGAAGAGACTGGAGTTAACATTCCCAAGGTCGCTATGCTCACCC